TTTTTAAAAAATTTTTTTTAAAAAAGCAAAATTTTTTAAACCCTTCTTTTTAACAAATTCAAAATTCATGTTTTTTAAAATTTGGTTTCAAGGCAAAAAAAAAAAAAATCCAAATAAAACAAAAACAAAAAAACCCCCCACCAAATAAATTTTAATATATCTTTTAAGGGGGTAATATATTATATCCATACAAAGTGGGGGTAGGGGGCTATTTTTGTGTTTTTTTTTTAAAAATAGAGTGTGAGTTTGAAGTTTTGTGTGAGTTCGAAAGTGGGTGTTTGTATTTAAAAAATATTATATGTAAAAATTTATATGGAATGTTGGAAAAGTTCCTTTGATTTATCGTTTTTTTTTTTTTTTTTTTATTATTATACATATATATTTTTTTTGTAATAAAATTAAAAGAATAAGACAATTGTAAATATTTTACAGAGCCTTATTTAGAAATTAGTGTGTATTTAATAAATTTTTTTGTCTTTATTTTGTCTATTGAGTTTAAAAAATTAAATTTAAATTATTGTGAATAATCTCATTTAAAATTTCTTCCTTTGATTTTGTTAAAATTTTTTTATTTTTTCATATCGAGATATACTATTTTTAATTGCATATAAACTTAAATCAATAGTACTATTTATTTCCATAAATGTTTTTATTAAAAAAAAATGTCGTAATATTTTTGAACAATAAAACTATACCCCTTTTTCTCAACTTGTGATGATATTTTACACCCAACATACAATACAATTGGATTTATGTGTGGGTATTAAAAAAAGAGAAAAAAATAAAAAAAAAATAAAAAAAAAAAATTACTTGTACTTTTCAACCAAACTTAATTTATTTTTATTATTTTTTATTAATTAATTTAATAAATTTTAAAATCATATTTTCAATAAAAAATTTCTTTTTTTTTTTTTTTTTTTTTTTTTTTTTTTCTATTTAAAAATCTTTTATCATAGTTTTTTTTAAAATAAAAATCTAATTTTATATTAATTCTTAATATATAATAATAATCAAAGTTTAAAAATAATAAAATAATATAAAAAATAAAATAATAATAAAATTATAATAATTTTATATTTCAAAAAAAATATTTTTTTACAAAATGGATAATCAATCATGGTTTATGTATTCACAAAGTAACAATAATAATACTTCAAGTAACCATTATAGAGTTGTGTCAAGCAGTGAGGAAAGAAAAAAATGTTTCTGTGATCCATCACTCCATAATGATTTTTGCGACTACCAATTATGTTCAAGGTTCTCTTGGTCTTTTACCTTTTTATTCCTTTTGTTAGGGCTACTTAACTTATTTTCATTTTATTATAGAAAAAGGGATCCTTTAAAAAAATATTCATCACTATTTACACCAACTCATAATATAATCGGTTGTTTTTTATTAGTAGCAAAACAAATTCTTCAATTAGTGCAAATTCCGTCAACTATTACGCACTCAGTACTGTACATGTTAGCTATTATGTGTATCGGCTCATCTTACATGTGGACTGTTGCTTTTTGGTTAATGGATGATGTATTAGCAAAGATGTTATTCAGTAGTATTACAAAATATAAATTCTATGGTGGTGTAATGATGGGAATATGGTATTTAATATTAATATTTGCTCTTGGATTTTATTTTATATGGAAGGCTTCAAATATTATAATATTATGTTACATAGTAATTTTGGTTATCATTTTCCTTGCAATGGGTATTACTATTCGTCAAAAAAGAAATCAACACTGTAACGCTCCAGGCCTTGAGTCAAACTTTATTTTTAAGTTAAATATGCTAATCTTTTTCTGCGGCACTTTTGTTTCCTTAGGAGTGTCTTCTTTCATTATAGTGTTGTTTAGTACCATAAAGAATAACAGTGAAGCATCAAGTAAAGCTTTCTTTTTCTTGCACAGATTTATAATTCTATTGTATTTAATTTTACCTTTGGTTTTTGACAAAGGACTAGGAGTTATAATGTTAAGAGTTGTTAATAGTTTTGGTATGAATAATGAACCAATAGATATTAGAAATTTATATAGATATAGTATAGATTATTCTAATAGAGTAGATAATCAACAACCAATTCAACTACAAAATAAACAATGGGTAGATGGAGATATTAAAATAAATAATAATAATAATAATAATAATAATAATAATAATATCAATAATAATAATAATAATAATATCAATAATAATATCAATAATAATATTAATAATAATAATAACAATAATAATAATATAACAACGACGACAATATCAAAAAATATTGACTTAAAAGTTAGTTCTAGTTCTTTACCCAATAATATTAGTATAGATGTAAATAATAATAATGTACAATATAATGTAAATAATAATGAAAATAAATCCAAAAAAGAAGAAATATCCAATAGTGATAGTAATTCAACAGAGTTATCGAGATCACCTCAATTTCAAACACAGAAACATTTAGATAGTTCATCCGCTTTATTAAATAATAATGAAGAGTGTAGTAATAACCATAGTATCACCATCGCAAATAATAATAACGAACCAGATATTGGTAATAATAATAACGAACCAGATATTGATAATAATGTCTAAAAAATAAAGTTATTTATCTTTTTCTTATTTTATCTAAAAATAAAAAATTCTTTTTAATAGTATTTATTTAAATCTAATTTTCGATAAGTGTATTACAAAGTGGACAGTTGGATTTATGGGAAGTTTGGAACCATTTGTAGATACAACCAGCATGGAATTTATTTCTACATGTTTTACATTGGAATTTTGGAATGGTGCCATTGTGGAACATACTATAGCAAATTGGGCAAACTTCGACACCCTCGAAATGTTTATCTAAAGAGTTCTTCCAAAGTAAACAGGCATCTAAAACGGATCCATCTTGAGTAAGTAGTAATGATGTCATTGATAACAACCATTGTCTCCACTGAGATTCAGTTACACCAACTCTTTTTGAAAACTCGACAGTTAAAACACGTAGTGGATATGTGTCTGGAATAGAGAGTACCAATGAAATTGTGATATCATCTTTTTCGTAGGATGCAATAACTTCTTTAGTCGAAGTAGAGCCTTTAACGGTAAAGTTAGAGTCTTTGCCATCACAATAATTGTTAACACGGGTAATTTCATTTTGAATAATTAAGGGACTAATATAATTGGTTACATAGTTTTGAATTTGTTGATTCATTTTGCTATTTGTTGAACAATCATCAGCCCATCTTCTAAACATATTTGGTAAATAATTTACTAATGAAAATATACAATGTGAGCATAACATTTGAATAGTTGAATATCTGAATGTAATGTTAGTTATATTATTGTTTATATTATTTTCATTTTCTTCAATTTCATTAAATGGGAATTCTGAATAGTTATAATTTGGTTGTTCGTCTTTTTTTGCAAAAGTGAAAATATAATTTAATAATTGTGATACTTTATGAGTTTGGTTTAACCAACCGTTGACTACTGATCTCTTATTTAAATCTAATTTTGAATAATTCTTTAATAATAAATTCCAAAGTATTAATTGACCTACACATTTAATATTGATGGTGGATGAGTTTTTATTCTTTTTTAATTCTTTCCAGCTTGAATCAAAATCTAATAATATTCTTTCAAATTCTTTGCTGAATACAATGAATTGAACTTTTTCATCATCGTCATCTTCTGGGTTATCTGATAAAAGGAATGATTTAACAAGCTGAGAGTTTTCATTTGAAAAGTATGACTCTAATATTGTGTAAGCAGTCTTTTGGATACCTCTACTTGTTGAGTATAAGAGTGAGATGATATTGTCAATCTTTGTTAATGAGATCTTATATCTAATATCACTGTCCATTTTTTCAAATGTATTTGAATAGAGCTCTAAGAGATGGCTATTGCTTGTGAGTGGACTGCTTGATAAGTGTAACCAATTATTTAATACTAATATAGAATGATCGATAATAAATTGATCGGAGCCGGGGATAATATATTTAATATTATCATTTGATAATAATAAATTATAAATTTTTAATGATTGATAATTGATTAGTTGATTTAATTGTTCAGTATTGTTGTTAATGTTGCTTAATGGTTCGTTGTCATAAATAGTATTTGTTAACCAAACTGTTAATAATGATTGGACAAGTTGAGAGAGATTACTTGGTAAGTTTGATTTTTTACATAAGCTATATTGGATGATTATAAAGATAAAGTTTAATAAAACTAATTCTAATTCTTTGTTGTTTTCACTTGCATCTTTAAGTAATGGACTCTTTAATTTTTGATACCATTGTTGAATCATTTGCAAACCATTTAATAATACTGAAAATTCTTTTTCGCTGATTAAAGAGGAGATTTCTTTATTACCATTCATTTGTTCTTGTAATAATATTGAGGATAGCAATGATAAATGAACAATGGTTGGTGTAAAATCATTTGGAATTGATGGTGTAATATTTGAAATTTTTTCATAGAGTGATTCTTTGTAGAATTGAATTAAATCTTTTGATGATGCTGATGTTGATAAAATTGGTAATAGAATTTGAATGAAATTTAATTCTTGGACTGTTAAATTTGATTTCTTAAAGTTTTCAAAGATACTGGCCTGTTCTAATAATAGGTGGAAATATTTTTTTGCCTCTTCAGATTCCTCTTCTTCTTTAGTTAAATAATCGACAAATAGTTTAACACTCAATAAATTAATTATTTGTTGATTTGATGATGAGTTTGAAGTAGTGGCACCATTTAATAATTTCTTGAACCACTCAGTACTGAATATTGATTTATCTTCAAATTTAAATAATGATTTAATAAAATTGTTTATGAAGGAGCTGGAGGTAATATCGATAAAATTCATAACTTGGTAGTAGTAAGTTGGTAGTTGTTGGCCTTCTTCCTTATTATTTAAGTTGAAATTTAATTTCTTCACTTTTTCATCTTTAATTACTAATTTATTATCGTTATTAATAAAAATAAAACATGATAATATTTGATTAATTATTAATGAGGTGTTGGGACTGCTGATAAGATATTTAGTAACTTCATCGAAACCAATAGAGTTGATTATATTAAAATTAAAAATAATGGTTTTGAATAATTGGTTAACTTGTTGCTGGTTTAAAGTTGTTGGTTGTTTATCAGTTATTAAATATAGCGGTAATACTTTGTTATATCTAAACCATGAAATTTTAATTTGGCTAACTAAATTGCTATTGTTATTACTATAGTGTTTAAATAAGTTATCTAAGCAGCTATTATTATCGGTATTATTATTAATTAATTGAACTAATTGGTTTGAAAGGTAATCTAAATCTGGTTCTGATAGTTTTTCGACATATTCTATTATTAAATTTATGATTAATGTGGAGATATTGGTATCTTTGTACTTGGTAGCAATGATTTGATTATTGATTGAAAGTAAATCTTTAGAGTAGAGTGATTGTAAGTTTGGACGATGATGAATTTCAATTATGAATTTGATCCATTGAGAAATTAAGCCTTTAATTGGTTCCAACTGTTGATTATAGTCATCAATTGATAAAACCATTAATGAGAGTCCAACTAAATAGTCAAGATTAAAATCTAGTAATAAATTCATTTCAATGGTTTCCATTAATTGTGATAGTTTTGAAGATAAGCATTTGATTAATCTTTCAATAACATCGCCTGGTACTATTGGCTTGTATTCCTTCTTAACAGAGAATAATAAAGTTGAAATTAATTCTTGGTCTTCTTTAGAGATAACTTCATCATTATCGTTACAATTTGATATAATGGATTTAGTTAGTTTATCTAAAAGTTGATTTGATAACCAAGATCTTTTTTCAGAGGTTGTTTCTTGTGAACTGATGGTATTGATTAATTTTGATAACTCTGCTTCTAAACCTAAACTGGCACTGCCATTTATCATTCCACTTCTATCATTAATGAAAACATTTAAAATAGTGGACCAATATTGATTAAAATCTTTTTGATCATTATTTTCCTTTAATATTGCTGTGAGTAATGTGATGGTAATTGAAATTAAATTTGATACCAATTGTTTATTTTGTTCGCTAATGGCTTTGTTTAATGATGGTACAATTGTATTTGAAAAGAAGTTTTGGAAATCGTTGGTAGTGAGTAAAATCTGACTAATTTTATAATTCTTTAAAATGATATCGATCATTTTGATTGAATATTCTTGGTGAACTGATAGACCATTGCATGCTAAACCGAATAATCTCTTGATAAATTCTTGTATGAAAACTAAGTTATTACTTGGATTGCCACCACTGGACATGCTTGAATAGGAGAGGAAGAGATTAAATCTGTCAAAGAATGTTTCATTTGAGATTGACTGAACTAATTTTTCCTCTTTGGTTTCTGGTTGTTTTTCTTTTTCAGCTTTAATTAGATTTACAAATACATCGTTTAATACATTCAATTTAAAGAGGGCTTCTAATTGAGGTACATTAAGTTGTTCATTAATACTTGAAAGTTTTCTAGTGGTTTCTAATAATTTTGTGACCAAGAACGATTTTGTGAATGAGCAATACTCGAGATTAAAATAATCACGATAGAAACTACCAAACAAATCTTGAATTAAATATTGATTAACCTCTTCTTGTTGTGAACCCCATTTCTTACTTGAATAAACTATACATTCTAAATAGCATGATAACATTAAATTGGATGGTCTATCTTGATTATTTGGATTACCATAGAGACGAACATTGTCGAGTACCTCTAAACCCTTGAAAAGATTACCAAAAAACTCTTTAAAGAATGCTGTACCCTCACCAATAACACTTGATGGAATGAATGTGAGTAATGGTAAAATAGATGGATATGATAAATCATAGCTACCATAACAACCAGACTTAAAGAATGACCATAATCTTGGCAATACGTGTTTACGTACATCAACTTGGTCCCATGCTTTATCACCATATTTCTTTAAAAATGAAATGACTCCTTCCCACATAAAAAGATGTGTTGTTGAATCTTTTTCTGAAAATAAACCCAATACCTTTGAACTAAAGTCTTTAAAATTCTTTTCGACAAACATTGGAAGTTTATTAATGATAGTGGTTAAAACTCTATAGGATGTCTTTCTAATTAACGAACTCTTTGATTGGAAAAATGAAAAAAATTGTGATTCAAAAATATTTTCATAAATTTCTAAATTTTTATTATTTGTATCTGTAGTGGTTGTGGATGTGGATGTTGATGTTGATGTAGTTGTATCTTCTTGTGTTTTGTTAATTAAATAATCGATTGCTAATAATGAATTTGAAATACATCTTTCATAACGATCTTGAAGTACCTCTGGTGTAACTGATTTACTATCACCAATAGTTTGAGGTGTCTCTTGCAAGTTTTCACACAAATATGTTAATGCTTCATCATGTCCAAATTTATAAACATCCTTTTGTTTTTTTTCTGGGAATATATTCTATTTAATTTATAAAAGTAAAAATGTTAGTATAATTAAAATAACAATAAATAAATAAAGTTAAATACTTTACATTAAATGAGTTTAATGCAGAGTTAACAGCTTGATCTTTTTGATCACAAATTGAAAATACCCATGGACCTAAAAGTACTTTAACATGTGGACCCATATGTTTACCGATTCTAGAGCCAATTGAGCCTAAACAAATATTTGCTAAATCTCTAACATGACGGTCATCATCGTTAACTAAACGTCTATACATAAATTCCCATGCATTCATTAATGGTTTAATTGATGAAGGATTAAATTCTGGTGACTCTATATTAATTTTACTAAATAATTTATTTAATTCTTCTAAACCTTTTATTCTACTAATACTATCTTTTTTTTGAAGTTTTTTTAATAAAACTTGATATTCGGGATCTACTTGCTAATTATTTAATGTTTGTTAATAAATTATCTATTATGCAATGTGTGTACAAATTGTAATACATACATAATAGTCTGGATCGGTAGCATTTGTTAAATTTGTAGTGAATGCTGAAAATCCAATAAACCCGCCTGGTAATAATGAACCTGCTTCACCACTACTTGATGGGTTAAATTTAGGACCTCTATTGTTATTTCTATCTTTTCCCATATTATTTCTTTTATATTTTGATTCTTTTACATGTATAATATCTTATATATAAATAAAATAGATAGATTAAGTTTTTTTAATGAAAAATGAAATTGAGAAAAAAGAAAAAAAAAATGAATTTTTTTAAATTTTAATTTTTTTAAAAAAAAAAAAAAAAAAAAAAAATTAAGGAAAAATTGGGGAAATAAACAAAATATAAAACTAAAAGTACACTTTATTTTAGATTTAAAAAAAATTAAAAAAAGAGACAAACCTTTTTATTAGTAAATATTGAAAATGATCTTTCTTCTCCACTGATCATTTTTAGATTGGTAACGAAGATTTGAAAGCACAACCTTTGGTTCATTAGGTCATATCGAATTTATAAAAACGAGATAAATGGCTTTTCAAAAACATTGTGAATTATTTGATGGCAAAGTGTATTTTTTCTTTAGGCCATGGTCCTGAAACAAGGTATTTTTGATTGACTTTGATGTTGATTGCATCACTTTATTTTAGATTTATTATTTTAGTTATTATAAATATAGAAACAAAAATAGTTTGGTTTCATAACTCAACGTAATCATTATTCTTCACATCAACTTTAAAAAAAAAACATTCTATTTTAAAAAACATTTTTATTTAATACAATCTGTTATTTCGATTTTTATAATAAAAACTTAAAATTATTATATGAACCCCTATTTTTACTCACACCCACTAAATATTTGTTTTGTGAACAACTTAAAAATTTTTTTAGTTATAATGATGACACATCAATTTTTGAACTTATATAATAATTTTAATTTTTTAAAAAATATAAATAAAAACTTTTTAATAATTTTTATTATTTAAAGTTATAATTTATTTTATATAATTGAAAAATGTTTAAATTTAAGAAAATTATTTTTAGTTACCTATCTATTTTAATTTTTAAAATCCTTATTACTACTTTTTCTTGGGGTTTAAATGAAAAACATAATGATCTAACTTATAGTTCATTAGTGTTTGTTGCTCTAGATATATTAATGAACACTATAAAAATGTTTCCGAAAAAAAAAAAAGAAAGTGGAATAATAGTGTTTGTTCATTTAATTTATGAATCTTCGCATATTTTATACAATATTTATATGGTATGTTTGGAAAAAAACTACTCAACGGAAAGGATAATGAGTGCTATAACTCCGCTTCAAAGCATTATTCATGATTTAATGGTAAGTATAATAATTTTTTTTATATATAAAATAAAAACTAACACAAAAAAAAATAAAAAGAAAATTATTATAAAGGAAAAAGAAATTAAAAGTGAAAATGAAAGAATTTTAATTAAAGAAAATGAAATACTAAAAAGTGATCTTAGACAATACCAAGAATATTTCCAGAATATTAAAAATCAAAAAATGTTAATTGATTTACCTGACCAAAACTCTTTGGAAAAGGTACAATTTTATGAAAATCAAGATGATTTTAATAACAGATTCATAAAAAAAAACTATTAAATAAAACTTAATATAACCAAAAAAAAAGATTTTTTACTATATTACATAAGAAAAAATTTATTACAGTTTAAAGGTGAATTAGATTTTAATAATCGTTATTATTATTATTATTATTATTATTATTATTATTATTATTATTATTATTATTATTATTATTATTATTATTATTATTATTATTATTATTATTATTATAATATAGCTATTCCCTCAATATAATCATTATTCTTCATATATCATCTTGAAACAATCTATTTTATTAAATAATATATTTATATACAATAGAATATGTTATTTCGATTTTTATAAGAAAAACTTAAAATTATATGAATCCCTATTTTTACTCACACACCCACTAAATATTTGTTTTGAAAAAAACTTAAATAAAATTACATTATACAATTTTTAAGTTATTTTGATGACACATCAACTCTATTTTTGAATTTATTAATAAAAAATTTCAATAAGACCATAATATTTTTTTTTTTAATTTTTATTATCAGTTATTTTTTTTTTATTTATGTAAAATGTTTAAAATTAAGAAAATTATTTTTTGCCACAAATTTATTATTTTTATTAAAATAACTAATACTATAATATCTTTTATATTACATCGATATTTTGAAAATTTATTAATTAGCTCTATCTTTTTTTTTATTTCCGATACAATAATCAACTTTATAAAAATAGTTCCTAAAAAAAAAAAAAATGACAGTCCAGAAATGGTAAAGTTGCATTTTATTTATGAAACTTTGCATCTTGTATACAATATTTTTATGTATTGGAGAGAAAAAAATCACTCAATAGAAAGGTTAATTAGTGCTATGTCGCCATTTAATAGCATTTTTTATGATTTAGCGGTATGTATAATAATATTTTTTTATAAATATAATAAAAACTAACCCAAAAAAAATCAAAAGAAAATTATTATAAAGGAAAAAGAAATTAAAAGTGAAAATGAAAAAATTTTAATGAAAGAAAATGAAAAACTAAAAAGTGATCTAGAGCAAGCTTACTTTTTGAATAGTCAAAATAATAAGCATAAAAGGTTTCTTTACATACCAGACCAAAATGCGTTGGAAAAGGAATCATTCTACAACGATTAAATAAAACTTAATATAACCAAAAAAAAAATTTTTAATATTGTATAAGAAAAAATTTATTACAGTTTGAAGGTGAACTAGATTTTAAAAATCGTTATTATTATTATTATTATTATTGTTTATAGCTATTCATATTATGTTATGTAAATTTTAAACTTTTATTATTATATAAAAATTAAAAATTTGCTATATTATTTTGAATTATTCCAGTCAGATGAATCGAAACTCCATAAATTTGTTTGGCTATTATTTGATTGATTCACTGAATCACCAATCATTGGGTCTAGAAAATCGGTTAAAAGTCCACCATTACTATCTAATAAATTTGGATTTGGATTTGGATTTGTGTTGGTTGTTGAAGTTGGTACTGTTGCTATTCCCTCGGTTATTATCGATGGTTGGATAATTCCATTATTATTATTATTATTGTTATTATTAGTATTGTCAAAAGTTGGAGTTGTTAATGTCGGTATATTTGTAGTATACAATGATGGATCGAATGTAAATGCATTTGGAATTAAAAATTGATTATTATCTATATTATGATTATGATTTAACTCCATTTCGTTACCTATAGTATTATATAAACCAATCGGGATATCATTTATATTCATTTTGTTGTTAAAATCATTGGAAGTGGTGGTAACGGGTGTATGCACCATACCGCTTGTTGAATTTAATTGATTTGGTGTTATTGGAGTTGAAGGTGTTGATGGTTGTTCATAAATTCTTGAGGTAGTATTCATGCTTATAGGATTACTATTATTACTACTATTAAAAGGACTATTATTATAATTTTTAGTTGGTGTATTAGTGGTTGAAATATTATTGGTATTTGTGTTTGCTGTATTTGTAGCTGTTGTGGTTGTTGTGTTTGTTTGATAATTTACAGGTGTTGATGGTGGTGACTCATCTACTGATGAGATTGTGCTTGTATTTTTTAATCTTAAACGATTTGAAGTTGGCACAGAAGTTGAATTAATAATATCTGTTGGTATTGGTTCATTGCCCTCTAAAAGTCTAATATTAACAATATCACAAATTGGCTTTGTATTTTCTGAATCATAAACCAATGAATGGGTATCTATAGTGCTAAAAATGGAACCATCTCTACATTTATAAACCTGTGCAATCTCCATTGTCCTTTTATCCGTTAAATTTCTATGCTGTTGTTGAAAGAATGACATTGTTTTTTCCATTAAATTTGGATGTGTAATTTCAGTCCAAGGTAAACCAATAATTTCATCCTATTTTTTAAAAAATAAATAAATATTAGTTTAAGGTAAAACGATGATATTTATATGTTTGAATTATATAAACATACTTGTGAATAACCGATTAACTGTGAAAAACTTTTTGAACAGTTCAAAACCATTGGTGGGTTTTTTAATAAATCTATAACTATAAATATATTTTGGAAATGAATTTGGTCATTATAATGGCCAACTTCGTGCATTGGATATGATAATGCACTATCTGTATGTATGTTTGAATGTAATAAATGATGTGATGATTGTGTAGATGAATCATCAGTTGTTAATAAACTTAATTTAGCTACCAATGCCTCGTTGAGTAGTTCTAATTTTTCATTCTTCCCTCTTAAATAAATTATTTCATCATAAATTTTTTTTTGACCATCTTTTAATTCTCTTAGTTCACTAATTAATAAATTTGCTATACCATTCTTTAAAAAATAAAATGTAAATAATCTTTTCATAATATATCTTTGGGTATCTATATACATACATAATCTGATTTAACGATATCTGTGGGTTGTTGATTATTATTGATACTGTTATTATTGTTATTGCTACTGTTATTGTTATTATTATTATTATTATTACTATTATTATTATTCGTATTGCTTGTATTACTACTTGTACTAGTTGGTTTACTTTGTTGATTATTTGTTGTGGTAGTGTTATTTGTATTTTTCTGAGTTGGTGAAGTTTTAGGAGGTGACGAAGTGGTAGGTGATATATTAGGTCTAATATTATTATTAAATGGATAATTGGGCGATGCCCTGGTAGAACTGAAACACATATGTGGAACACCTTTTATAATACATCTTGAACATGGTGTTCTTTCGTCACACTCCACCATATCTTTTTGACACAGAAAGCATGCTTTCTCTGATGTCTTTCTTTTTCTTGGATGTAAATCCATTGTTTATTTTATTATTATTGGTAATAATAATATTTTAGTGTAATAATAATATATATAAATAAAAAATTATAAATTAATAGATTCTATCAAATAATTAAAAAATTAAAAAAAAATAAAAAATTTATTAAAAAAAAAAATAAAAAATAAAAAATAAAAAAAAAATTTTTAAAAAAAAAATTAATTTTTTTTTATTTTTATTTTTTATAATTGTTTGTTTTTATAATTATTTGTTTTTATAACTTTTCTAATTCTTCTAAATAAAAAAATAAATATAAAAATAAATATAAAATAAATATAAAATAAATATAAAATAAATAAAAAATAAATATAAAATATGAAATAAAAATAAAAATAAAAATAAAAAATAAATAATAAATAATAATATTGTACATAAAAGAATCATTTTTTTCTTCAAAAACATCTTTTTATTTTAGAGAGAAAAAAAAAAAATAGATATTTTTATTTCATTCCCTCCTCCAAATTATTTTTTTCTTTTTTTTTTTTTTCACCCATTTTCATTTTTTTTTTTTTTTTTTGAGATTAAATCATATTTATTAAAATAACATTATCAATTATATTAACAAAAAACCAATCAGATCAAAAATTACAAATTAAAATGGTTTAAAAAAAATCAAAATATTAAAGAAATCTAATATTAAATTGATTTAATTTTAGGATTTAATTAAATCTATGATCCCAAAGAATATATCTATGATTTAATTTCACCAGATCAAAAAGAAACCATTCAAAGATACAATGAATATTTTGGTGACTTTGTCTCTATTTCGAAGAAGTGTATCAATTTTTAATTAAAACTGGTTTCAATAAAACCATTTACAAAACGGGTATTGGCTATTCATTGTATTGGTTTATAAAACATTATTCTCCAATCCCCAATATCGTTTGTTCCCCATTTTAAACAATTTACAAAAAAATCAAATAAATAATAATATATAATATTAGTATTTTTTTAAAATTATTTAATTTTTTTTTTTTTATTTTTATAATAATAAATTAAATAAATATTATTATTACTTATTATTATTATTTGTTTTTTTTTATTATTATTATTACTATTAATTATTACTTTATAGAAGTTTTTATTATTTTTTTTTTAATTGAAGTGCTACACTATTGCTTAGTTTAATGGTAAATAACCTTCTCTCTTTTTATAACGATAGAAAGCATAGAAGACACCAGCAACAACAGCAAGAATTGAAACGATAATTAAAAATACACCCCAACCTGGAACTCTCTTTGATGGTTTAACACTTGGTTCAAAGACTAAAGAAATGCCACCATTGGTAAGTTCGACACCAGATTTAATGGTGTTGTATAATTCACCATCATACCAAAGAGTGACGAATGCGAATGAACCTTCACATGAACCGCTGTATCCAACAAGATTGTAGTTTTGACCTCTGTTTGGAAGATTTAAGAAATCGACTAATAAAGTGGCATTTTCTTGAAGAGAAACATTACCGTTAACATACAATTGAGCAGTTTCATCTGGTTGGATGTGGTTATCGATGTATAAAGTACCCAACAAGGTGAGAGTGCCAGTGGTTAAAGTACCTGAATCGGTGTTGAATGAGACTACACCACCACCGTTGACAATAAGATTCTTTGTGATCTCTGAGGCACCATAGGTGGAAATTTGACCAGCATCTAATTTAACACTACCAAAGACATTTGAACCATTAACAACTAATGAGCCGAGAGTATCTGCAACATAGATATAAAATTGGTCACTAAGAGTAATTGAAACTTGGTTTAAGATTAATTCACCCATAACATTAAGGTAGTTATTGTAAATACCGGTACCAATGTCCCAAAGGATAAGCTTAGCATCATCAGCAACAGTAACTTGAGTATTTGAGGTGGTGATAGCACCAACCATATTGGCACCTTCAAAAGTAAGTAATTTGGTTGGGTTTGATTTTGGTGCTGGGATTTCGATAATAGATTCGATGATTGAATCTTGAACGAAAAGTGATACAGAACCACTTAAATGAACATAAATGTTAAGACCATTGACACTGGTGAGATGGTTGTTTGAAAGCTCGGTTGTGCTGAGTGGGTCAATTTCATAACTAATGATACCACCGGTACCAGTAAGAGCTCCAATATTACAATTGGCATTTAAAATTGTTAATTTTGATTGATCGTTAAGAACAACGTTTTTGAGGTTGACTTGTTGGGTACCGCTAATTTGGATAGTTGAGTTACCACTGAGAACAATTTGACTGTTGTTTGTGGAGAAGCTAATAAAGTCATCAACAAAGACGGTGGCATTGCTGAGGTCAGCAATCTCGTTAATAATAAGTGTTTCAAAGTTTGATTTACCATAAAGAGTTGATTTACCGAGAATTACAGTATTGTCACATAAAATACCTTGGTGGAAGACAACATAACCATCAACTGCATCGCTAACAGCAAGATTGGAATCCAAGAATTGTGGTTGGACAAAGAAGGTGGAAATTCCATTGATTTGAACAGATGATTGGGATGAAAAAGAGAAAGATGAAAGTGGATCTACTGAAATGCCTTCTGAAACAAGATTGGTATCAAGACCAACAACACTTGTATTTTTAATAATCCATGATTGGGTAATTTCAATATTATTATTAGCTTGACTGCCACCAACGTTTTCGAATCTTAATGCACCATTAGTAACGCTCATAGTTGTAAAAATTAATGATTTGGTGTTTGCGAAAAAAATTGATGGTGAAACTGTGCTTGAAGTATTTGCAATAAATGAACCAAAAGTACCTGTTACTAATGCACTTCTTGTTTTGAAATAAACAATACTTGAATTAATGTCTGAATATGAGAGACTGGAAAGATCTATAATAAAACTATCGCCTGGTGTAACATTTTTACCACCCCAATTATCTGGATCGTCAAAGAAACATGGGTTCAATAAAGTGGTACATGCTTGAGCTTGAGTGGTATCGAAAATTAATGTATCAGCATTTGCAATTGTGAATATTGCTACTAGTAACAAAACAATACTAAAAATTAATTTCATTTTTTTATTTAATATTTATATAGAAAACTATATAAATTATTTATATAAAAAATTTTTATTTTTTAGAAATGAGAAAAAAAAAAAAAAAATCAAAAAAAACTTTTTTTTTTTTTAAAATAAAAATATTTTAAAAAAATAAAAAAATAAAATAATAAAAAAAAAAAAAAAAAAAAAAAAGCAACCAGGAAAAAAGATATTTAAAGCAATAAAAAAAGAAATAAAAAAAATAAAAAAAAAAATAAAAAAATAATTTTTGATTGATTACCAAAAACCCGGTTGTGTGTTTTATAACAATTGTGTTATAGTAAAATATCTTAAAAAAAAATAAAAATAAAAATAAAAAAAAAAGAAATGTTTTTGCCTGAATAAAATAATAAAATATTTTATTTTTATTTTATTTCTACTTTTATTTTGTTATTGGCACTATTTATAATATATTTATATTAAATTAAACTAAAATGGAGTTATTTTCATTTTCGTTTAAATTATCAATAGTTTCTTCATTATTTTGATTTTTGATTAAATTTTCGTCATCTTTTAATTCAATAGAATTATTATTTTCGTTGATAACGTTAAGGTTGATAGTTGTTAAAGGTGAATCTAAAGATTGAGATAAAGGAACTTGAGTATCCCAGTATTTTAAGAGACCTAATAAAGAGATTGTAATTACTGAGGTAAATGATAGGAAATATAATGGAATTGTGTAACTACCGGTATGTTCCTTGATGGCATCTAAAATTGGAGGGAAAATAATGATATTGCAATTATAGGCTGTGGTTACTATACCATAAGCAGTGCCCACAATTGACATATCTACTAATAACGGGATACAAGAGAAGAGAGTTGTGTTGAGTAACGAGAAACCTACACCACAAATTATAATCCATGGTAATGGGTTAACATCAGTTATATTTAATAATAGGACGCCCAAACCCAATAAGAATGAAGCAAAGGCCATAATTTGAATTTTTCTACCCCTAATGTTTTGAATGAGTAAACCTGTGAATACTGGTAATATACCATTAACCATAGCTTCGCTTGCCATATAATTTGCTGAGGTTTTTTCGTTGTAATCAAACTTGCTCTTTAATACATCGGTACCAATAATAGCTAAACCAAACATTGTGTAATAACCAATAAAGCAAATGATTGAGAGTAACCAGAATCTTTTTGGTAATAAAACTGCTTGTTCTTTGATTTCTTTAATTTTGATGACAAATAATCTGTATTTTGAAAGTTGTGGGTTATTGATATCTGATTTAATTTCATTAATAATCATACCATCTTCTAACATCATCTCATCTGAAGATAAAGGTGTTGTTGATTCAATTGGTGTTGAGTCATTACTACTGAATGTGGGTGCTGTAGACTGATCGTCCTCATTATTTAACTCTCTCCCCTCGCTATCTAGAATATCTGCTGTGCTTGAAGTTCTACTGATTAAATTCATATTCTGTAAACTCGCTATATTCTTTAATTCGCCATTCTCTCCCTTAACAGTCCAACTTAGTTTTTCCTTGAATCTAATTAATAATAAATTTAATACGAATTCCAATACAAAAACACCAAAAATAAACCACATTGCTGCTCTAAAACCTGCAACTTCGTTGATTCTAGGTAAAATAATTAATGCAGCTAATAATAATTATAAAAAATTAATAAATCTATTTTACTTAAAAAAAATAACTATAATAATATACATACTTAAATTGCCCCAATATACCCATGACGCAAAGAAACCCATACATAGTGGTACCTCCTTTGCTGAAAACCATAATGGAATCATTGTAGCAGCACATGATAATAATGTTTCACCACCGCTACCCAATAAAAATCTCCCAACCATTAAACCTTTATAATGAGGAGTGCTGATTACTGTTACAAATGATGATAATAATGCTAAACCACAAAATATAACACTAATACTATAATATTTTAAAAAGAGAGTTAATATTTACTTTTAATTTTGTATTAAAATGTTTAATAACATTACTTACATATTAGTGCCAACTATATCAATTAAAATACCCCCAATGAATACCATGAATAAATTTGGTAATGAGTAAATTGTAAATAAAAAACCGAACTGTGACTCTGTGATGTAAATCGGAAAATTTAAAAATGATTCTGCTAATGCAACTGGTGCTGAATACCCTAATTGAATACCAAAGCCCAAATTAGCAATCAGAAACATTACTAAACATTTTCTAATTGTCGTTTTAGTAATTTTCATTTTAAATCTCTAATTATATATATATTAAATATTTTTATTATTTTTGTTTTTTTTTTATATTTTTTTATTTGTTTTATTTTATTACTACTATAAAAAACTATTTATAGTTTAAACATATACTATATTATATTTTATATTGTATTTATATTTTAGTAATATTATACTAATTATTATTTTTTTATTTTTGTTTATCACTTATTATCTATTTACAATAAAATATATTTTCTGTTTTATATATATTATATTTTATTAAAACCAACGATTCTCCGCATTTATTTTATTCTATATTTTCTGTTTAAGATTCTGTATGAAAATAAATAATAATGTTATGGAATTAGTATCTGAACAAAATATCGAAAAAATCCTTTTTTTTTTTTTTTTGAATCTTTTTTTGTGTGAATTTTTATTTTTTATTTATAATTGTTTTTTTATAACTCTATGTTTTTTTTTTTGGGGTTTTGAGATATAATAATGTTTTTATTTTTATTTTTATATTTATTTTTATTTTTCTATAATTTCTTTTTTTTTTTTTTTTTTTTTCTATTTTTTATTATTTTATTTCGTTTTTTTTATATTTTTTTATTTACATACATATAATAATTTTTTTAAAAAAATATATACAAATAAAAACTATTATAATTATCTTTCTAAAAATTGGTGAATGAAATAAAAAAAAAAAAATAATATGAAATCAAAACCAAGGTTTTTTTTTTTTTTCTGAGCTGGTATTACGAAAACTTTAAAAAAAAAAAATTTAAAAAAAAAGGTTTTTTTGCAAAACGACCTGTTTAAATAACAATTGTAAAACTGGCAATTTACCCAAAATGAATTTTGATTACTTGACCATTAAAATTCATTTTTAATTAAGTTTTTTTTCTATTTAAATATGGGTTTAAATAAAAACAAAATAATAAAAAATTATGACCAATCTTGGAAATGATTATAATAATAAAAATAATAATAGAAATAGAAATAAAATAATAATTAAATTAATAAAATAATAAAAATAGAATAATTATAGTTATAGTATAAAGAAAAATAATAATAATAGATATTGAATATGAATGATAATATATACATACCACTGAAGTCATATTATTTGTAGATTCCATATGTATTTCAAAAAAAAAAATTTTAAAAAATTATTTATTTTTTTATTTTTTTTTTTTTTCAATTTTTTTTAAAAATTTTTTTTTTAAAAATTTCTTTTTTTTTTTTTTTAATTTTTTTTTCATATTATTGTTATATTCAATACATACATATATTCGATAAAATGTCAGGTACATTATTTGAAGAATTAAAAATGATTTCAAGAAAGAACAAAGCTTTCTACATCTTCTTCTTAAACAAAGTCCACGGTACTCCATTACCAAAAACTACTATTGCCGAAACTCTCACTGGTAAATAAAAAAATAGAAAATTTTAGCGATATTCAACTTCATTGCAACAATCAACATTTTTTAGGTTACAATTTATCAGTAAAGCAAAATATAAACAGCAAAATAGGAAAATAGAATAGAAATATTGAACATAAAATAATAATATAAATTTAAAAAATATCATCAATAATAATTGTAACATTAATAATAGTAAAAATTAGAAATAGTGAAAATTAATAATAGTATAATATGATTATAATAGTAAAATGTCTACTAAGCAGAAATATAGATGATAATAATTATTTCAACTAATTCTTAATATTGTGCAT